ATTCTAACTGCAAAGCAGACACGGGGAGGGGGTGGTGGGGGGGGTTAGGGGGCATGCAGGTAAAGGATGGCATTGGATTAGCGTGTTAGGGCTTTGGGTGGCATACTAGCTCTGCAAACCTGGGCAAGTTCCTTCTCTTGGTTCTACCGGAGTTTTCCCTTGGTAAATTGTAAATGGTAATCCTCACCTCATTGGAGTGTTGTGGGAATCAGGAGAGATAAAGGAAGGGGAGGGTTAAACTACTTAGCTCTTATTCCTTCCCGATGGCTCTTCCCAAACACCAGGGCTTGTTCTCTTCATCACGTCAGCCCCTTTCCTGCTCTCACGAACATCCCTGTCTCCGGAAGTGAGCCCCTTCCTTGGAGCCCAGTGCAGCGCCCTCTCCCTGTTGCCCTGGGTCCCGCCCGCCTCAGGTCCTTAGCTCTGAGTCCTGCCAAGTTTCCCCTGCCGTCCTCAGACGCCCAGACTGGTCCGCAGAGGAGTCTCCACCCCTCCAGGCACAGGTGCTGCCTGGCAGGCTGTCACACCAGCTCGGGGGGCCAGGGTCCTGGCACGTTCCCCCGCACATCCCAGAACTCGCATCCCTCCTCTGCCTGCCCAGCCTCTCCCTCTACTTACGGGCTCGAGCTTGGGAGTCCACGGGGAACCAGAGCAGCGCGAGTCCCAGCAAGCAGGAGAGGACCCTCACTTCGGGAACCATCCTTCCTGCCCCGGGGCCAGGCCGCCTGAGCAGAGCCAGAGGGGAGTTGGGGAAAGTGAGAGGAGGACACTGAGGCACCAGGGCACTGATCGCCCCGCGGACCAGGAGGGCTGCGGCTAGCGGAGAGTCAGAGAAAGACTGAGAAGGAGCTGGGGAGGAGCCCTAGGTGGGCATATGAGAAAGGTGGGCAGAGAGCAGAGGGAGAAGGAGAGAGATGGGGAGATGCGGGAAGGTCCGGCCAGGCGGGGGGACAATCACTGCCCCGGAGGTGAGAAGGCGAGGAGGGGGAGAAGGAGAGCCGAGGCCTCGGGTCTGCAGGGCGCCGCGCTGCGCGGGGCGCGGGGGCCGCGGGAAGCAGGCAGCCCGGCCTGGCGCTGGCCTCGCGCTGGCGCCTCCTCTGGGGCACCGCGGGCTCGGTGGATTGGCCACCCGAGAAACAGGCCCACTTTTTCCCCTCCTCTCGTGCGGGTGTCCGGGACGGATGCTCCAGGCGCGGCGCCGAGTGGAGGCGAGGGGGCTGGGGAGGGGGAAGGGGCCACCCGGGCCACGGGCTTTAACCCCTGACTCCCCGCGAGGCCGAGTGCTGGGGGAGCGCAGCTAGACTTCAGGTGAAACTTCCAGGTGGGGAGGGAGGAGATGTCGGGGTCGAGCAAGCCCAGGGTGGGGTGCCAGGCGGAGCGACACGGAGCTGGGCATCTGGATGGAATCAGGGCACTTGTGCCTTGATTCCGTTTGCATCTTGGGCAGAACACCTCAGAGTAATTCCTCAGCTCTAAATGGTTATTTGTTATTTTTATTTATTTATTTATTTATTTATTTATTTATTTATTTATTTATTTATATCGCTTTAGTATCTTCCCGCCTGGTTGAGAAGATCAAATGAGATAACGAACGTTTAAACACTGGCCTCAAAGAGAAAGGGGTCACAATTCCAGGTGCTTAGAATGCAACTGTCCCTCCAACCCCAGTTCTCATCCCCCCCCTCCCCCAGCAAGCGCTATCCCCAGATTGAAAGCCGGCCAGCCCAGTGTGATCTTCGCCTTTCCCCAGGACTTCTTCCCTTGCTTCCCTCTCTCATTCCCCTAACAGGACCTCTCCCCTGCCCGGAAGGCGGAAGGCGGAAGGCGGAAGGCAAGGCGAGGCCTGCATCTCAGTGATGGCCACCATCAGTCATCTTCAGCCAGAGCTGTTATCAGTGCTGTCTGTCCCACCAGAAAGTGAGCTCCCACAGCCCCAGACCCTAACACCCTCCAGCCCACAGGGTTGGGGCTCCATACCTGTGCTCAATGAGTGAGCTAACAGGACCCTCAAAGAGAATACCTGGCTCTGTCCAGACTAGAAATACCCAAGGCAGAGTCACCTTCCTGGCTCAGTCCCAGCCACTTGAAGTACACCCAAGTACTCCGTCTTGCTGTGGACCTGCCCGCCTGTGCAGCTCTTCTGCAGAGCTGGTGGAGAGTCCACTGAGTGTCGGGGGTGCAGGAGCACCAGCAAGAGTGAGAAGGAGAAGGGACCTGGCGCCACATCCCGCTCTGCTCCCGAATGAGATTGCTGCATTTAATCGTGTCTGAGGACCGTCTGTAAAGAGATCTTCCTGGGCCAACGTTGGGCTTCCCATTCCAGTCTACTGCTCCGTAACTTACCCTGTCTGGTCCCTTCCACTTCCTCAGAACAGACATCAGGAGGAAGCACTGAGCCCAGGAACAGTCCTTCCCCCAGACTCTCAGAATCAGGGACTAACATCATCTCCCCGCAGGGCTCCTCAGGCTTAACTTTTCTCCCTCTAGTCTGGCCAGTCTCTTTCTCTCCCTTGAGTATTCATTATTATAACTGAAAATGAGAACTATGTTCACGATTCCCTTTTTACCTTGGCTTTCAGGGAGCTCAGAGTTCAATTAAATGAGCAATTGCCATAAACCATCTCATTAGAAGGGTCTGAGACACAGATCTTTTTCTTTCCTGAATCTTTAAGTGTGCTGTGCACGTATATTTATGTCTTAGATGCAGGAGGTGGATTAGATTGGCCCCCTACATTCCACTAGGTGGGATGCTCCTGGGAGGCCAAGGCACTAACCCCCTCCCAGCCCACAGGATTGGTGCTCCATACCTATGCTTGGTGCATGCATTTACTGTTAGGACCCTATGAAGACCCTAAGGCCATTCGACTCTAAGAAAACTCTCTGCACTCTCAACCTTTGTCGCCAGCCTCCTTATCCCCAGAGTTCCAGCTACACAATTACTCAGAGTTACCCTGCAGCCACCTACCAGGTCTCTGCTTCTAGTCTAGGCCCCTGCATCTGTTTTCCTCACGTCTGCCTTAAGAATTATGCTGACTGGGGCCAGCAGGTGGTATGGAGGTTACGGTGCTGGACTCTTAACATGGCCGACCACTGTTTGAGTCCCTGACCTAGCGGCTTGAAAATCATGCAGGTGCAGGGCCAGCAAGTGGCTTAGTGGTTACGTTGCTGTACTCCCACATGACAAACTGAGGTTCGAGTCCCGGACCTTGTGGCTTGAAAATCATGCCAGGTGCATGTACATGCATGCCTAAGATCCCAGGAGGAGAATGAAGGAGAAGGGATTGCTGCATTGTCATCCTCCCCGCGTGGGGGAGAGGTGATTTCTCACTTTCCCTCATGCCTTTCTGTCTCTCTCTCTCTCCTCTCTCTCTCTAGCAAGTGCACATCCCTTACGGCAAAACCTCTGGGGTGGGGGCAGAAAAGAAAGAAAAAAGAAAAAGAGAAGATAATCACGCAGGTGCTTGCGTTTGCATGCCCCAAATCCTGAGAGGGGAAGGGATTGGGCGTGTCCATCCCCTCCTGGGGGTGATTTCTCACTTTCCCTCTCTCTCTCTGTTTCTCTCCTGTGAGTGCATATGCCCTCTGGCAAAAACCTAAAAAAATTTTTTAAATGAGTTATGCTGATTATTTTTGCTTACAGATCAGATCACATCACTTTCCCACTTAAAAATCCATATTGACTTCCCGTCAACTGCTGGTTAAAATGACACATTTTCAGCATTGGATTCAAGACCATGGACACTTAGGCTCCTACCCGCCATTGCCACCCACTCTACACTTTTACTCTCTACTTCCCTCCAGAATGCGGCTGTGCTTTCTTACACCTGCATTTCTTTCTGCCTGGACTACCTTTCTCCTCCTCCAGCTTTTTACTTGTCACAGGTCAGCTCTGAGTCACTTTCCCCCAGAGGCCTTCTCTGATTTCCCCGGACTTAGTGAATTTTTGGTCTTATTGCGTTGTAGCACTTTGTGTTGTTATTGACATGTAAATATTTATTTGCATTTCTCCCTGCACTTTGGGAGCAGTTCCTCTATTTCATTTATCTCTGCATTTCCAGCACTGAGCCAAGTCTCTGATACATACAGATTGTGAATAAATGACTGCTCCCTGAATGAGTGAAGGCCTCAGTGATTTGAAAAGACGTGTTCTTTCACCAGAGAGCCTTGGTTCCCCATCTTGGCCTTAGCTTTAATCAATAGTTGATGCAAGAAACGAACACTTGAAGAAGATTTTGGTGTCTTCTGTAGAATTACTATTGAAGATAGGTGTCCATGTGTTATCTAAAATCCTCTATGAAAGGAGACTTGATAAATTCTTCCAAAATGTGGTCAGGAAAAAAAAAAAAATCCATCTGTCCATAGCAATTTGTTGCCCCAAGAGTTTGTCTGGCATCTGCTATGCTTCTCTCATAGGGAACCTGCTCACTGCCTTCCAGCCAGCCCATTCTGTGGTTGGACAGCTCTGTTAGAAAGGTCTTTATATTAAACTGAAATCTGATTCTCTGACTGCCTGGGGTTCTCCTAGCTCTGCCCCAGGGCTATGCAGAACAAGCCAATTCCTTTTGTTTTTTTGAGAGCTCTCCAGAGACTTGAGGCAGATTACCCCTCTTCCATGTTTTCACCTTTCCTAGTCTCCCACCCTGCACCTCTCATGTTGCATTAAACATTTTTTCCCCAAATGTTTTCATTGTCCTCCATGCCTCTGTGCATACTGTTTCTTCTGTCTGAAATGCCCTCATCTACCCACCATTATCCATCTGGCAAAGGTAATTGCTTAAGAGTCAAGGTAATTGCTACCTCCTTCATTCATGCACTAAGTATCAAGTGCCAACTCTATGCCATGCACAGTGTTAGGTGCTAGGGACACAGTGACAAATAGGATGGATATGGATGATTATAGTCCAGGTTCTCCTTAAAGTCTTTTTGATGGTCTCTGAGTTAGCTTCTCCTCCCTGCTTCTGTTTCTCTGTTTTACCACTTATCACAATCTGTCACCAATAAGCTCTGTGTCACCTTCTCTGCAGTGGTGTCCTTGAGAGCACAGACTTTACCCAATGTCTTCCCCAGCTTGCAGCACATGGCTTTGCGCACAGTAATTATTAAATAAAGGTTTGTTGAATAATAGTATTGTTCTTTCAAATAGTCCTCTTGTGACATGCTATTTATGGTGAAAAGGTCTCCTGGGCTGCAGATTGCTTACTTGTGTGAATGTATTATATCTATAAGGATCATAGGGATCAATGGCAAGTTAAGACTTCTTAACCTAGTCAGGTTAAGACTTCTTAACCAGTCAATATAAGAAGACTTTGTACCAGTAGTGTGCTGGTCAATGCTTAACAACTAGTCCTCCAGGAGAAAATAAAGTTGTGGGTTTTGCAGCTGCCAATTTCTGTTGTGTAAATACTCCCACTATGGCCAGCTGAAGCTACCAATGTGACATCACTGAATGTGTAGTTGAAAGAGATACAATAGGAGCTCCTCACTATACTTTTCCTATATATAGTTAATACAGGCATAAATAACCTCAAGAACAGTGGCAGTAGTAAAATAATCAGGAAGTAATGAGTTTGAGCATTTATTATCTGTTTCATTTTATCTGATTTTTCTTTTAAACTGCTATAGGGCACATGCACACACCAGAAGTGGGAGAATAGTTATGCCGCAATCCCTTCTCCTCCATTCTTCTCTTGGGATTTTAGGCACGCATGCATACGCACCTAGTGTGGTTTTCAAGCTGCCAGGTACAGAACTCAAACTGCGTCCCCCATGTGGAATCCAGTCACCTTAACCAGTGTGCTACTTGGCTGGTCTCTTATTACCTCTGTTTTAAATATGATGTACTTAATTGTAAGTTTGTATAATTTGACTTTTAGTAATAAGGGTGTTTAGTAACTAGCATGCAAAATGTCTGAAAACTTAACTAGAGCCAGTGCAAGCCAGCTCTAGTAAACTGGCTTTACTCAATTATGTCCTGAAAAGGGATGAGCAAATTGACTCTGTAAAGCGGGGTAGGATCTGTATACATTAGGAGGAAAGTCTTACTTAAGGGAGCCATCAGAGTTAGTTTGTAAAATGAACAGTCCTTGCCCTGCTCTTACCCCTCGACTGAGTTACTCATCTATATAACAAACATGCATTAAAAACCTGCTATTACTTCAGGACACATTCATTTGAATTTGTTGGTATTGTGCATCTACTTGATCTAAATAAATGTTTGTGGAGTGGATGAGTTCTCAAACTCTCACATAGTGCCTGGTACATTCTGAGTGTTCAAGAAACACCTATGTGATTGGGTGAATGGTTCTTCCCAGCATGACACTCACCTATATTTATTTGTCCAAGTTTTATGTGCCATATGAATATTCCTGTCTTTTTTTCTCCCTCAGTGGGGCCTCTTTTTCCAAGACAATGTGAACACAGTGTGATGAGGAAGTCTTGGGAAATCAGGATGGGGTAACACATAGTCCTTAATTTCTTTCTTTCTTTCTTTGAGAGATTTTTATTATAAGGCACGTACATTTGCCAAAGAGACAGAAAGAGATAGGGAGACAGAAAGTGAGAAATCAGCCCCCGGGGGATTGGCCATGCTGCAATCCCTTCTCCTCCATTCTCCTCTCCAGATTTTGTGTATGCATGCACATGCACCTGACATGTTTCAAGCTGCCAGGCCCGGGGCTCAAACTGTGGTTGGCCACATGAGAGTCCAGAGCCCCAACCATCACACCACCTGCTGGCTCCAACATAGCCCTTAATTTCAAAGAGCCCTCATGAGGGAAATTGAGTGGGGCTAAGTGTCTTCAATGGAAGGCATGGCTGTGGCCACACTTCATTCAGGCCCTGAGCTCTACCTCTGACCAGAGGCCTCCTCTACTGTAGCCATTGGCACTAACAAAGCACTGAGGAGGACCTTCTGCTCCTTCCTCCTGCACATGCAGGAGGACTTTTCAAAAGTGGTGTGTCCTCTGAGACTTCATATGTGAAATGTTCTGTGAAATGCTCCTAGAGCATGAGACAACCATATCGTATGACTTGTGTCACCCAGCCAGGTGGTGGCAGGCATTGTGTCCACCCAAATACAGGAATGGGGAGCCACCAGAGTTATCTTTGCAAATGTAAATCAAATAAGTCATTTTCTTGCATAAAACCTTCTCATTTGGGGCCAGCCGGGGGCATGGTAATTAAGGCAACTGGACTTCACATGGATGGCTGCATGGTTCAAGCCTGGGTCTGGTGGCTTGAAAAATCACACAGGGCGCATTTACTTGCATATCCAAAATCATGAGAGAAGACCGAGGAGAAGGGATTGTGGTGTGGCCATCTCCTGGGGAATGATTTCTCACTTTCTCTATCTGTCTCTCTCTGGTGAACACACGTGCCTTATACTGGACTTAAATAAACTATACCTTCCTGTTTCACTTAAATAAAACCCAATCCCTTTACCGCAAATGACAAA